CATGTACTTGTTTTTACTCTTGATAATGCAACATATAACTGTCTGTGTGAAAATACTGGTTGTGGAAGATATATTCCAACATGGTCTTAAGTTTGTCCCCAGGATTTGTTTATATCATTACAAAACATAGACGTATAAGATATTGTGTTCTTTTAAATGGAAATACAGTTTTATCACATTCCAATGGAATAAAAGAAATATGAGGTAAAAATCCTTGATTACCACTATATTCTCCAGTCGTAATTTTTGCATGAATGACTTTTCGTTCTAAGTCTCTACATATTAATCTTGTTACATTACACAACCTTTCTACAAAATTAATATTTCGGAGTAATATTACATGACAGTTAATCTTCAACACTAATTCATGCCATGGTATACCATCTAGGGTTAGAGAATTGAAAAAATCTTCTTGCATGCTCTCTCCTGTCTTATCTAATATTTCAATGAAGCTATAATAAACAATAGCATCACCTAGGACACGTTCTATAAGAATATTGTTGATGTCATCGACATGCTCATTTTTTGGTGCTAAAATAATCCAATTCATCATACTTGAAAGGTTTTTTTTTGAATAGTTAGCTATTTCAGGAAATACAATATCAATTAGCTTGTGTAAAAAAATATTGTTTCCTTCATAATCCTGAGTCATACAATACCAAAGCTTAATCATGCTACAGGAATGCTCATTTTATGTTCCATTTCCAATCCTAAATAAATATTCTGAAAAATGAGAATCTAAGAGTGCTCGCATATTCCGATGTAATTTGCTTTTTGTAAAAAGGGGCCATAAATAAGAGTTAACAAGGCTTGATGCAATATGTCTTCTTTACTCCCTCGTTGAACAATCGGTAAAATCTGACGAAAATCTCCACCTAAAACAATCACCTTTCTACCAAATGGTAATTCAATGTCAGTTATATCTCTTAACATTTTGTCTAAGGCTTCAACAGGTTGAGAATTCATCATTTGAGCTTCATTCCAAATTATTAAGCTTGTCATTCTAAGCAGATCAGCCACAACAGATTTTTTACTCATTGAGCAATTACTATCACTATGAATATAAAGTGAAATTTTAAACCTTGATTGTGTTGTTCGACCTCCAGGTAATAAACCTGTAACGACCACTGAAGATGCAGTTGCTAAAGCAACCAAATTTCTCGATCTAACAGCTGTAAGCAATCCACGATACAAAAAAGTTTTCC